GTGGAACCCTGGTCACTGATAAGAAAACTGAGGCCACAGGAGAGGCAGGGACTTCCCAAGTCCTTATGTTGAGTCAGGGGCAGAACTCAGACTGCAACCTTTGGGCTCCATCTCCCTCCATGGGAATTCCTCTTTTTTTTCGCCTTAGTTTATAAACAAAGACAGAATAAATGAAGGGAAACGCAGGAAAAGGCATGCCATGGATACACATGGTGGTGGAGTGGTGGGCTGGCTCTGTGGCAGCCTGCTACATAAACATTCCCATTGTGTCCCTTCTATAACCCTGAGAGAAGCCAGAGAATCCTGACCACCCTTTATGGTCAGGTGGCCTGACTACACAGTGGTCAGGACTTGAGCAAGAAGCCCAGGCAGGCCAGAAGAAGAACTAGACCTCCAATCCAGGTGTGCCTCATCCCTGACCTCCTGCAACCTTAGCCCTCTACCCAATCCTGATGCTTCTTGTTGGTGGTGACTTATTTTTAGAACCATGGTGAAACTTCCTATGGTGGGCTCAGGATCCACGTAACCAAGCAGTTTCCAGCAGGGATACATCTTCCACTCTCTTCCTAGGCATTTTAGCAGGGAGTTGGGTTGAAAATGGAGCAGCCTGGACTCAAACTGGCGCCCATATGGGATCATTATTATGCCACAATCCTGGCTGCTATTTTATTTTATTTTTTATCCTTCCTGTGTTACACATGCACTAACAGAGACTAAGAGGAGAGTGTCAGGCCAACAGTTACACTTAGTAATGGTCTGACAAAGATAAGACAAGAACTTTGATCTCCTGACTATTGATGTCATATACATGTGCCTGTTAGCTCTTGCCAGGGCTTTGGAATTCACTGCTTATCCTCCCACCCTCTAAGCTGTAACACTCCCTGGTGGAAGTACCAGTTGCCTGCCTCTTAGGGACTTGCTTCTGGCTTTAGATTCCTGCTACCACCTACTTGGCTCTGGGTCCTTCTGATTCTCTTGGCTCTGCACATCATAATCACTGCTCTGATCTTTGGTCCAAGTGTTGACATTGGGAGCCTGGGTGGGTCTCCCCCAAGACAGGTGTTCAGGAATAAGTGCAGACTAAGGGACTTGCTGAGTGATACTGGATGGAATCTAAGGCTTAGTTCTGCCATAAGCTCACTGTGCCAAATCTGGAGGCCACAGATCCAATCTTGAAGCCTCATCCTCACCTGCTGACTGGTGGGGGAGATAGGTAGCCACCTACCCCAAGCTACCTGGAGCACTGATGGGATTGGTTCAGGAGAAGTAAAGATGAGTGGTGGGAGTGGGAAAGAGGGAAGTGGTATGGGCATCCTACATCCTCTGCTGTAGCAACCCCAGGTGTGCTAGGTATAGCTCAGGCAGGGACTGGCTGACAACTGGATAGGTTGTCAAGCATTCGACAGAAATCTTTGCCAATGTGTGTGGGTGGTAACAGAATGGAACAGTAAGGGCCATGGATCCTGGTTATGGGAAGGATGGGGAATCCTTGGCATAATGTGGGCAGGTGGCCTGCCTTCTCAGGGGAGAACCTTGGATGCAATGTCAGGGTATCCTGGGTGCCTCTTCTGAGCCTGAGGTGCTATTTGTATTCTTACCACATTGCTTCTCTGCAGTTTCTCCTGGGAGCGTGGGGATTATTGGAATAGTTGGTCTTGCAATACCCACTCAGACACCTGCTCCAGCCAGCTTGTGATCCTGTGTCTGACTTAGCCATAGCATCACATTCTTTCTGGGAGACTGCACTGGAGCAGGCAACATGCTGGCTAGAGGGAGAGTACAGCTTCAGAGTCAGAAGGAGCCAGGTCTGATCTCCTGACCTAGCAGTGTGACCTTGGGCAGGTGACTTTCCTTTTAAACCTTCCTGTGTGACATCTGTGAAGTGGGGTTATAATGCATCATGAAAGATTATCATGAGGGCTGGAAATCATGTTAATAACATGCTCAGTTCATTGCCTGTTATGAATATCTTTGTGTGCTAAGAGTCCTATCTGTGACGGGTTTGATGGAAGAGAGCCAGCACCTGCTTTCACAGCCCTGGGGGTGGGGAGCTCACCCCCTCCAGGGACAGTTCTGCCTGGAAAAGTCGCTTCCCGAGACCCAGCTGAGAGCTGCCCCAGTTCTGTCCCTGGGGCCACTGTGCCTGCTGCTCTGCAAAATTCCTCTCAAGAAATTTCCAGTGATCTTATTGGTAATACAGTGCTTGTCCTCATGGCAGAAGCCAGGCCTGGAAGATGTTGTCCCTTTGTTCAAAAGGGGAATATTTTAAGAAAGGCTTATGTAACTCACAAAGATCTCTCTTCTACTCTGTGGAGTTTGGGACATATAGATTGTATCTTTCTGAGCTGGCTTTGTTCCTGAGTGAACTCTTAGTTCCTCTGAGAATTCTTCCTAGTGAAACAATCCTCATGGCAGAACTGAATTCTGGCCCCAAGTCCATCATTTCAGGTCAAGTCACATATCCTCACTGAGCCTTCAGTTCCTTATTTAAAAATATAAGAAATTTATACTGTGTCATAGGCTTAAAGCAAAGAAAATTTGATTCTTGTTTGCTTATCCCTTATGCTTAGGGCCTAGCCAAAGGCTTGGCAGAAAGCAGCTTAGCAAACTTTTTTTGTTTGTTTATTTTTATTCTTTCTCCTTTTAAAAAGATTTATTTATTTATTGAAAAGTCAGATATACAGAGAGAAAGAGAAGATCTTCCATCTGGTGATTCACTCCCCAAGTGACCACAACGTCCAGTGCTGAGCCTATCCGAAGCCAGGGCCTAGGAGCTTCTTCTGGGTCTCCCATGTAGATGCAGGATCTCAAGGACCTGGGTCATCCTCCTCTGCTTTCCCAGGCCATAAGCAGGGAGCTGGATTGGAAGTGGAGAAGCTGGTACATGAATTGGCATCTAAATGGGATGCTGGCACCACAGGGTGAAGGATTAACCTGTTGAGCCACAGTGTTAGCCCCTATTTACTTTTATTTAAAGGGAGAGAAGTAGAGTGAGGTAGAGAAGGAGGAAGGAAAAGAGAAACAGAGAGAAAGAGAGAGATATTTCACCTGTTGATTCACTCACCAATGCGTGGTCTAGGCCAGATCGAAGCCAGGAGTCCAGAACTGAATCCAGGCTTCTCATGTGGGTGGCAGGAATAGGAACCATCAACTGCTGCCTCCCAGGGAGTGTGTTAGCAGGACGCTGGATTGGAAGTGGAGCAGCTGGGACTCCAGCCAGTCATTGTGATCTGGCATTTGGGTATGGAGACTTACATTATTTTTTGAATGAATGATGAATCAGTGAGCACTGAGTGACTAGGTACACGCCTTTGCTCTCTCATCAAGCCTATGAGGCTGATGTTAGACTCCCATTTTGCAGTGAGGACACAAGGCTGAACTGATGAGCCCAAGGGTTCACAAGAATAGGTGGAGCAGAGGCTGGAATCCTGACTTCCTGGAGTGTGGTTGCTAATCCACACCCAAGCCAAGTGTTTCCTTGCCCCAGGCCTTTCCTCATCTAACTGGGCTGGCTCTTGAATGGCCTCAAGGCAGTTAGTAATAGCAGCCTGGCTCTCTAGCTTAATCCATCCCTCTATGACTTTCAGCATGGTGTTGGTATTTAAGAATTTAGCTCAACTTAATACCAGCAATCTGTTTCAGGTTCGGCCGTCTCAATGTCTAGCCACGTGGTAACCAGACAAGTCTATTTGGATCTCTCTAGGACTCACCTTCCTCTTTTGTTTGGCTGCATTTTTGAGAACATGCCTTCAAGACCCAGAGTATGATCCAGTTCCTCTTCCCCACAGAGCCTCCTGGCTCAGAGTAACTCCCTAGGCACAAGAGAAATAAATCTACTCTGCTGAGCACCCGAGGAGGACTGATATCCCTGCCTTATGATCCATGGAACTCGAAGATGTGTGTGCAGGCAGATCACGCCTACAGTGGGTTTCTCACCAGCCTATGAGGCAGTCAGCCTGCACCCAGCTAGTCAGAGCCAGGAAGAGTGGATGGCATTTGGAGATCTTCATTCCCAGACAAGCATTTCCACCATAGCCCCTGCTGCTCCTTTCACTCTGCTTCATGGCCCTGCACCTGCTCCTTCATAACCCACGGGACCCTCCTTGACCCAGAGACACTCTCTTGCTGGCTCACCTTCAGAATGTCACCACTCCTCCATGGGTATCAGGTTTCCCACCTGTGACAATGGGCCTCAGGTCTTCCCGACCTCTCTTCTCCCTTCTAGCACAAGTACATAATCTCTGACTTGAAAGCTCTGTGGCAGGGAACAGCTTTTCCCTCTGCGAGGCGACTCCTTCCACTTCTCCCCTAACCAACATAATGTCCTAGTACCTGAGGCCAGTTGCAAAAAGACTTGATCATGCTTCCCAACCCTCAGCTCCCCGTAACCCTCTAGATGACAGGGACAGAGGAGTGTAGGGAGATTTGTGAGGAAGCAAAAACAAAACAAAATAAGACAAAACAAAAACTCTCCATTGCCACAGGAAAGCCCCCTTCCTCCCCCGCACCCTTAAACCCACTGTGTTGCAAAAATTTCACCGCGATCATCACTGCCTACCTTTCCCATAAAACACACAAAACACTGCCTAGGCAAAAGCTGGCAGGAGGTGGGGTCGGGCTGTGCGCGTGCGTCGGCGCAAGGCCCTCTCCGGCCCACGTGCGCGCCCCCGAGCGCAGGCGCGCGCCGCGGCGGGCTGGCGGGAAAGCGCGCGGGAAGCCCCCGGCTGCCTCCCAGTGTGGGGGAGGGGGGCAGGAGGCGTTTGGAAAGTGCCACCCTCAGAGAGAAAGGGGGGATTTTCGCGCTGCGCTAGCGTTTGTACTACTGCCACCCGCCGACCAACCCGCTGGTCCCCCCCCGTCCCTCGCCGCGATACCGAGTCCCGCGTCGCGGCCAGGCTCCCACCCCGTATCCCCGCCCAGCCCCGGGAAGCCGGCTCGGCACCGAGCGGTTCGCTCCGGCGCCGGAGCGGGGCGCTGCGCCGCGCGGCGGGGCCGGAAATTCTCGCGGCCAGCGCAGTGGAACCCTAGCGGGGAACGCGGTGCCGCCTTCCTCCTCCTCGGGCCGGGCTGCCGGAGCGGCTGTGTGGGGGGCTGCCGGGAGCGGCTGAGTCGGCGGCTGGCAGCCGAGCGGGGTGCGCGGAGGCTGCGCCTGCTCCTCAGCAGCCCCAGGGCCAGCCGGGAGACCCCAGCGCCCCTGCTCGCGGGCCTCCGCCCCCTCGCGGGCTCCGCCTCCTTCCCTCACACACCCCCCGTGCCGCCCGGGCCGTAGGCCTTCCCGGCGCTGCTGCTCCTCCTCCTCTTCAGACACGTTCCGACCGGGGTCTTGCTGCCGGCAGCCGGCCTTGCTCCCCGTGGGAATCTTTCTCAGGCGTTCCTTTCTCATAGACACACACACACACCACACTACACCACATCACACCACACGCCCGGCACGCGCCTTCGCTGGCCGGGCCGCCCCCTTCTCGCCAGCCCTCCCCATCCTTGCTAACACCGCCGCCGGGGGAGGATTGATGTCCCTTCATCATGCAGCCGCCACCGAGGAAGGTAAGAGTGCAGCTGGGGGGCTTCGGGGTTTTGAGGGGATGCGTACCAGGAACGCGGCAGGGGTGACCACTGCACCCCCTCCCCCTTCCCGCAAGGGGCCGTGACCGCCCTCGCCCGGGCTTGTCACCGAGTTGCAGCCGGCTTCAAGCTGGGGGCCGCGCGCGTGAAGGTGTCTTTCCGATCAAAGGGCGTTCAGGGCTCGTCCCCTCCCCTATGCTGGCGACCCTCAGACATTTCGCAAGTTTTGGGTGTGCATTGGTCGTGTGTGTGCGCGCGCGCGCATGCCAGTGCCACCCGCTGCAAAGTGTATTCTTGGGGCTGCACCGAAGGGAGGCAAGGAAGCCTCTGCAAATTTGCCGAGCCGTGTGTGTCTCTGTGTGTATGTGTGATTGTTTAGTCTACACCAGCTTTGAGCCCTCCCCCGCCCTTTTGCAAATTTGGGGGGATTTGTTTTAGCCTAGCCTTAAAGCTTGGCCTGCTTTTCCCACGGGGCGACCGAAAAGAAGTGGAATAGTCACCACCTGCCTTTCCCTCTACCCCCAGGGAAAACAAATTACAGATTGATGAGTCTTGCTGCCCCTCCCCCCTCCCGCCGCGCCCCCTGCCTCGGGCCGTTTGGTGCTGTCCTCCGGACAGCGAGAACCTGGTCGTGCCTGGTGTGTGCACCGAGTTCTGGGCTTGCATGGCCAAGGTGGGAATGACGGGGTGCTCTGGGCTTGTCAGCAGCTTCCCCGCAGCGCCCTTCCTCAGCTGTCCCAGGGCCCGAAGCTGTGTCCTTGTCTTTGGACTCCAGATGGATACTGTCTGCTCCTCAATGGGTGGAGAAGGCCGTTCTAGCCTCCTCTCGTGGGCAAACATTGGCCGAATGCTTAACTTGCCCGTGTCTGCTTCTTCAAATTTCTCTTTTCTTAATCCAGTTTTCTCCAGTTAAGGGAATCTTTCTCTTTCGCACACTAACCACCATCGTTTGGACTAAGCTAGCTGTCGAGACCCAGATTCCAGGTTGACTGGATCCTCGAACTCAGGGGTCCTGGCCTTTCTGGCAAGGCTCTGGCCAGCTGGCATTTGCAAGCCCTTGCCGCCGTTTGAAGTGTGAGCGGCGGCTGGGCCCAGCCTGCTAGGGTAGTTGAAAAGCACTGCAAATGCTGGAAGGTCACTTTTGCTTTCTCCTTTGTGAGAAAGAGATTGTGATTTGATGCGCTGTTAGCGAGTCCAGGGCACCGTCCTGAGACAGTGTGGCTTCTCGCAGCCATTAGGGAATAATTTATGCTTCACGTGTGTGACTTCATGATTGTGTCAGTTGCAGCCCTTGGATGTTAGGTGTTATGCTCCCTCCTGCCATCTAAGCTCTGCTCTTTCTTGTTGCTTAATGCCTTTAACCCCTTTCTGGAAGAGATAGATAATAAGCTCTTTTAAAACTCTGAGGACCTGGACATACACTGAGCTTATGCAAGAAATGGGTTGGCTAGCAGGTTATCTCTTTAACCCATTGTTTTCATACATAGATATTTGGGTTCAGCCTCCTTTCTAGTTTTTTTGGCTTTTTGTTGTTGTGGTTGACGAAATATCTCCTGCAAATAAAAATAGATGGCCAGTAACAGATTTATAGCCTTTGGGGGAGAGGTGAGCAGGAGCATGTATATTAAGGGCTTTCTTGAAAAATTTTTGGTTAAAATTGTAATAAGATCTTCACAGATGTATGTATTTTTTTAGGTAAAAGTTACACAAGAACTGAAAAACATTCAAGTTGAGCAGATGACAAAACTTCAAGCCAAACATCAAGCAGAATGTGATTTGCTGGAAGACATGAGGTAAGAACTTCAGTATCTCTGTTTCAAAGAACCTTTGAGTTACCAAGCCCCAGGAACTGGTGATGGAATTTCCTTTTGGATTTCCTGCTTTACTACTGTTAGAACTTTGACTCAGCTGGAAATTATAACTGGAACTAACACAATGCAACCTTTTTTTTGGTGAAGGACCTGTGCTAATGTATATACATGATTATGGGAAAAGGAGGGGGGGTGCTAAAAGTCTGTCAGTCAAATTGCAAACATTAAAAGAAAAATTCTTATTTAAATAATCTTTTCACTGAATTGCATTAATTATTGATTGACCCAGCCCATGTTTGCACAGTTAGATTTTTAACTGACACCTGTGGCTAATTGTTGCTCTTTGGAGGTGATCCAGTCAACCAGACTGTTAGAACATGACAAATGCTTTGTCTTTGGATGTTAACTTTAATAAGAAATGTGTTGTATTATTTTATTATTAAGATTATCTGAGGATAAATGTGAACTTATTATATAGGAAACCTTGCAAACATTATAAAAACCAGTACATTCATAGAATGAAGCATGACCTTGCTTTATTGAAACAAACGGCATTATTTGGCAATTCTGTGATACAGTTCATTCTGGAGGATGGAACTGGAATAGGATTTGTATGTTGAAATGGAGTGCCTGCATCCTTTTCCACTTTGCTAATACTACACTTACTAAATGGAAGTGGGTTTGGAAGCCTCATCGGTTGCCTGATTTCCCTTTGGAGTACTAAATTCGTGTTGGTTTCGTGAACTAGTTGACTTTATTTTGTTATGATAAACATATGCATATTTGGAAAGCTGAATGTTTACAGCACAGAAGAGTTCTTTTAGTTTGATTTCCTTTTTTCCTCCTACAACTAAGGGTATGTCAAGAAGTTATGAAAAGGAATTAAAAAACTTATTTTGATGGTGGAAAATTTTTTTTCCAAAACCCATGTATTTTATTTTATTTTTATTCTTAAAGACTTATTTATTTTTATTGGAAAGGCAGATTTACAGAGGAGAAGGCGAGACAGAGAGATCTTCCATCCACTGGTTCACTCCCCAAATGGCTGTTGTGCCAGAGCTGAACTGATCTGAAGCTGGGATCCAAGAGCTTCTAGGTCTTCCATGTAGGTATAAGGGTGCTGAGAATTTGGGCCATTCTCTACTGCTTTCCCAGGCCATAAGTAGAGAGCTGGATTGAAAGCAGAGCAGCTGGAACACATACCAGTGTCTGTATGGGATACTGGTGCTTGCAGGTGGAGGATTAGTTTGTTGAGCCATCAGGCTGACTCCTAAAACCCATGCATTTTTTTTTTAAGATTTATTTCTTTATTGGAAAGTCAGATATACAGAGAGGAGGAGAGACAGAGAGGAAGATCTTCTGACTGATGGTTCATTCCCCAAGTGAGTGCAACGGCCAATGCTGTGCCGATCCGAAGCCAGGATCCAGGAACTTCTTCCGGGTCTCCCACACAGGTGCAGGATCCCAAAGCATTGAGCCGTCCTTGACTGCTTTCCCAAGCCACAGGCAGGGAGCTGGATGGGAAGTGGAGTTGCCCGGACTAGAACCGGTGCCCATATGTAATCTCGGGGTGTTCAAGGCGAGGACTTTAGCCGCTAGGCCACGCCACTGGGCCCAACCCATGCATTTTAAAGAAAAGATTTATTATTTATTTGAAAGAAAAAGTGACAGAGGGGAGACAGAGCTAGAGAATCTTCATCTCCTGCTTTGCTATCCAAATAGCTGGCAATAGCTAGGATGAGCCCAGGCCCCAGCCAGGAGCCCGGAATGTCAGCTTGGGCTGGCTGTGATGGGCTACCTCCCAGAATGATCAGCAGGAAACTGAAACATGGAAGCATCTGACACAGTATGAGACCTCTCTAGGAGCAATGTAATGTGCATTTCCCAAGAAGTTTTTGAAATACCCTTGTATTTAACTTAGATACTAATTATGAGCATTTTTACATATATCCCCTTTCAGTTTCTGAGACATAAAACTTTTCTTACCAATTTGGAACTACCAAGATTGTTTTCTGACTGAAAAGTACTTTGTTAACTATGTATGGCTATTTCTTCTTTTAGCCACAATGAAAATTTTAGATTTAAAAAATTCTTGTGTAGGATATCTGAAACTCATTGTAGTTAAAAATGGAAGATTTAGGGTCTTGTGAAACATCAGGTTCAACAGCCTTCTGTGACGCTGGCATCCCATGTGGGTGCTGGTTCAAGTTCTAGCCTTTCCACTTTTGACTCAGCTTCCTGCTAATGCATTCAGGAGAGCACTGGAGGATGGCTGAAGTACTTGGGGCCCTGTTACTTGCATAGAAGGCCCAAACAAAGCTCCTGGCTTGGGCTGACACAGCCCCTTGCTGATTAAAGTAATTTAGGGAGTGAACCAGCAGTTGGGAGATCTCTGTGTTCCCTTCTCTTGTTTCTTTCAAATAAATAAAATAAATCTTTAAAATAAGAATTCAAAGTTTAAACCATCTGTTGGATGATTTAAGACATTATATTAGAAATCTTCGGATGAGTGGAATAATGGATTTTCAGAAGTAGTTCAGGAAGGGCAAAGCTAGCTTGTGATGAAGATTGTGTATGGGGTGTGGATAATCAGAGTCAGTATTTAATAGTATTTAATCAGAATGAAATAATATTTAGAATTAAATAGTATTTAGAATTTAATAGTATTTAATTATAATTAAATACTATTGATAGTATCTTCTGAAGAATTCTTGATTGCAGTTTTTCTGCGTATGCCCTGTACCTTTGTGCAGGAACTTATGGTCAAGAATATGGACCTGGGAGTTAGTCCTGGGGTGTGCTCAGGCTCTACCACCTACCTAGTTGTGTTGACTTTTGTACAGTTACTTAAAATTTGTAAACTTCAGTGTTCCCATTTGTAAAATGGGATGATAATGACTTTGCTTTATAAGGGTGTAGAGCAGATGACACAGGACATATATGATGTGGTACACATCTAAATTACATTGTGCAGATTGTTGCTCCTGCTGCTGTTCCACCCCCCAATATATGTTAATTTTTAAAAAGGATTTATTCATTTATTTGAAAGGCAGAGTGACACACAAACACCTAGAGGGAGATGTGGAGAAAGGTCTTCTGCCTGCTGACTCACTTCCCAAATAACTAATAAACAGCAGAGACTGGGAAAGTGTGAAGCCTGGTCTCCCCTGTGGGTGGCATGGCCTGAGCATGTGGACCATTTTCTGCTCTCAGGCTCATCAGCAGAGAGCTGGGTCAGAAGTGGAGCAGATGGGACTTGGACTGGAGCTCTGATGTGGCATTGCTGACATTGCAGGCTGCGGCTTAACCCACTGGGCCACAATAGCAGCCAGTTTAGTTGTTTTTATTGCTGATTGATTACATTTCACTAGAATTGTTACAGTAATATCCTAACTATTGTAATAGTGTCCTCACACCTTCAGTCTCATGATATCTCCCTTTTACTCTGACTTCTACTTTGCCACCTTGCCATCAGTTAGCTTTATTTTGTGTCAGTTCTCTGAGTCCCTCTTAGATAAAGGCCAAACACCTGGTCATGGCATTTAGGGCCCTCAGCAATCCAAATACCAGCTGCTTTTCTTGCCGTGACCACCACAATTTCATGCCTATGCTTCCTTGCTCGTCTTACCCTGCTGTACTCGTCACTCAGGTAAAGACGATCTGTTTGCTCTGTGCTCATAACTTTGTGCTGTTCCCTGGCCTGCTGATACCCTTCCTCTCACCTTTTCACCTGGTGAATTCTGTCAGTGCAGGTTTTTTGTTCTCAAAGGACTTTCCTCCCTTTTCTTCATGTGAGTTCTTTGAGGTTAGGGGCTAAGCTTTGTTTTTGTATTTTAGCACCCTTTATTTCAGCTGGCAGAATTGTCAGATGAGTAAGGCTGGTTACATTTATGTGTACCTTATTTGCTCGAAGGGGAGGTATTTTATAAGCTCTGGAGACATGTTGAATTGGTGTTATACTTTGACTCATATGGTTCCTTTAAATATGTTCTTTGTATCTTTGTTTATATATGGTATGTAAATAAGAGGGTCGTTGGTACTCCGAGGATTAACAAATTTTTAACAACTGTAAATATGTTCTATTTGTACTAAATTAATGGAATGAATCACTTTACTCTTGTATTATTATGAATAGAATGCTGTATTACCTGTTAAAGCATGAGTTTAGGTTTTTTTTTTTTTTTTGATAATATTGAGTTGAAAGTTGAAACTTTTCTATTCCTGGCTTTCATGCTCACATTAGTGGCTTGAGGTAGTAGGTGGTCTGGCCTTTCTGATTGGTCCTAGCAAGTGAAATGACTTTAAAAATTTATAAGTGGGGAGGGAGGGTATGTGGCGGATAGCTGTTGTTTGGGACACTGACATCCAGTGTCAGAGTGCCTAGTTCTAGACCTGACTACTTTGTTCCAGATCCAGTTTCCTGCTAATGCATGTTCTGGGAGGCAGCAGAGCTAGGGAGACCCTAACTCTAATGTGGCTTCTGTCTGGCTCAGTCCTGACTTCTTACAGGTGTTTGGGGACTGAATCAGTCCCTGAATGTTCTCTTTGGCTGTCCCTGCTCTTTAGATGGAATGAAAAAGAAAATTAATTGGAAGCCTCTGAATTTAGGGTTTTTCTTTTTACATTTTTTTCCAAATGCGCCCCCTCCCCCTTTTTAAGATTTATTTATTTTTATTGGAAAGGCAAATCAGACTTAGGGAGAGAGAAGGAGAGACAGAACTTCCTCCTGCTGGTTCACTCTCCAAATGGCTGCCAATAGCCAGAGCTGAGCTGATCTGAAGCCAGGAGCTTCTTCCATATCTCCTACCAGGGTGCATGATCCCAAAGCCTTGGGCCATGCTTCTCTGCTTTTGCAGGCCACAAGTAGGGAGCTGGATGGGAAGTGGAGCAGCTGGGACACTAATTCACATCCTTTAGGGTTTCTGGTGCTAGTGCTAGAAACTGGAGGACTGGCCGGTTGAGCTATTGTGCTGGGCCCTGAA